CTGCCACCACACCCAGCTAACATTTGTATTTTTAGTAGAGACAGGGTTTCCTCAGGTGGGCCAGGCTGGTTTTGAACTCCTGACCTCAGGTGATCCACCTGCCTCGGCCTCCCAAAGTGCTGGAATTACAGGCATGAGCCACCACACCCGGCCACATGAAACATTTCATGTGTTTCTGGCAGTCTTTCAGCAACAGATTGCATCTTAAGTATTACAATGCTTGTGCCCTTTAATTAATTTTTCCTACATATTTTGATAAAGAGTTATACTGAGGCTGGACCCAGTGGCTCACACCTGTAATCCCTCTTTGGGAGGCTGAGGCGGGCGGATCACAAGGTTAAGAAATCCAAGACCATCCTGGCCAACATGGTGACACCCCGCCTCTTGAAAAATCCAAAGAATTAGCCAGGCAAGGTCAAGCGCTGGCTCATGCCTGTAATCTCAGCCCTGTAGGAGGCTGAGGCAGATGGATCACAAGAGGTTAGGTGTTCGAGACCAGCCTGGCCAACATGATGAAACCTTGGCTATACTAAAAATACAAAAATTAGACCCTGAAGGTCACATCCGAATGAGAAAGACATTAACGGACACTAAGAAACAGTGCAGACTGGCCAAGTGAGGTGTCTCACACTTGTAATCCCAGCAGTTTGGGAGGCCGAGGCGGGCGGATCACCTGAGGTCAGGGGATCGACACCAGCCTGACCAATATGGTGAAACTCTGTCTCTACTGAAAAAAAAAGAAGTACAAGAACATTAGCCGGTCATGGTGGCACACACCTGTAAATCCCAGCTATTTGGGAGGCTGAGGCAGGAGAATCGCTTGAACCCTGGTGGCAGAGGTTGTGGTGAGCAGAGGTCAGCCCATATCAAGCTTCTCCTTGTTCTATGTGTGAACAGCTAGTCTGTATCTTCACCGAAGCATATTTAAAAATAAACCTTAGGAAGGCCCTTGGCCACCATAATCCGTCCACACTAGCAAGAGCCCAGCCTCTGAGACTAGGCGTCCTTCCGCCTCCCACTGGAATGCCTTCCCCCGGAATCTCCAAGGTACCAAATTGCTCAGGGGCAGCTGAGACAGCCCTACTTCTGGGAGTCCTCCCCACCCACTTGAAATCACAGGCATCTCTGCTGTCCCTGCCCTTCATCCACATCACTAAACAATTCATCGCACACATCTCTGTACTTTTATTTAAACTGTCCATGTGTGTTTACAATTAACTACTTCATGAATGACTGCGGTACGGATGGAGCAGAAAGGAATGCTGAGGGAGGACCCCTGTTCGAATGAGCCACTCTTCCAGAACGAGAATGAACTTTCCCCAGTACCAACAAGGCAGCCTCCAGGGCAAGAAAAGGTAACGGGATCCATTCTGCTGACATCCAAGATGGAATTACAGGTAACTCTCACCTCTTTTTTGACTCTCAGGTGGAAATCCCCTCCCCACAAGGTGAAGTGGAGTCCGCTCCAGAGCCCCGAAGTTGGGGTCGGGGATGTCACAGAAATCACCAGGGCAGCCAATTCCCATCCAGAGGCGGCCCAGGATGACCCAACACCCTCAAGCTCAGCCCCAAGCTCGGGCCAGGGAGTGAAGCCCTTGTCCCCAAGCAACAGAGTGAGGGTTTGTCTCTAACCCTGTGGGCTCCAGTGAAAGGAAAATGGCCTGGAGGTGCCCACAGGAGAGCACCTGAGTTCTGCGACAGATCTACGGCTCCCAGCCTGAGTCCCCATGAGTAACAGGGACGCACAGAGGGGCATGCTGCCTGCCTATAGGGCACTCACGGAACGCAGCTGCATGCTGTGGATCCTGAAGCCGGTCAGGTAACGAGGTGCAGAGGTGTGGGGAAGACCTGGAGGGAGGCCTCCCTGGATGCCAACCAGCCTAACCAGCCGGGGCCACCAATCAGAAGTGCTTCTGACATTTAACAGGACACACGGAAGGTGTGTAGGGTGGGTAGTGGATGTAACCGCAGAGGCCTCTGGGGATTGTTTTGGAGCTGGAGAGGCAGGCAAGCAGTTGGCTTTTCCCACACAGGGTGCCTCAGACATCTGCACAGCGCACACAACCAAGCTTAGGAGCCCACTGTTAAGATGCCCAAGTGACATGGACAAGTTTCTCCTCTGCAAGACAATGAGATCTGCTGACTGTCAGAGCATCGCAGGACCGCCGAAGGATTCTAGAAAATGTGGTCCCGGGTGGCCACTGTGTGCTAACCTTCACCTGCAGGTGAGCTGAGCTCACCACGCAAGCCTCCGCCCTGGTGCGCCCTTCCCAAGCAGATGCCAGGTTGGGGCAGAAGCGGCTCAGGGAAAGGTGATGCTCCCTCAGGGCTCCCGGTTTGGGGGTGACACCACCCCTGTGTCCTAGAGTAGGAGGGTGTACCAGGATAGGGAACCCCAAGGCTGTTTTCAGGGACAGCAAGATTGGCTTGGGAAAAACTCCCAGAATGGAGATGGGGAGAGCCTGGTCACATTTCCCCAGGTAGGGGATGCTGGCTGGACTTGGGTGAAGAGCAAAAGATCCCCTGGTGATAGTGGTGGTGAGGATCGGAGCCAGAAATTCCCAAGGTGTTTTTTTTTTGTTTTGTTTTTGTTTCTGAGACAGAGTCTCCCTCTGTCTCCCAGGCTGTAGTGCAATGGCGCGATCTCGGCTTACTGCAACCTCCGCCTCCTAGGTTCAAATGATTCTCCTGCCTCAGCCTCCCAAGTAGCTGAGATTACAAACACCTGCCACCATGCCCAGCTAATTTTTTTTAAATTTATTTTTTGTATTTTTAGTAGAGATGGTGTTTTGCCACATTGCCCAGCCTGTTCTCAAATTCCTGACCTCAAGTGATCCACCTGCCTTGGCCTCCCAAAGTGCTGGGATTACAGGCGTGAGCCACTGTGCCCAGCTCATTTTCATCTTTTCTCTTACAGGTTTTTATTTTTATCTTACAGGTTCGACTTGAAGGAAACTTCTCGAGGGTTGGGTGGAGGGTGGGGTAGTGTTGAAGAGGAGGCACAATTGTAACCATTTTGTTCAACATGGGTGTTTTCTTTATGCATCAATTTGTATTTTTAAAGATATTATATTAAAATTTTGTTTCTGTTTTGTTCAACATGGGTGTTTTCTTTATGCATTAATTTGTATTTTTAAATATATTACATTAAAAATTTATCTTGATTACCGAGTTTTTCTGGTGCCCCTTTAAATTCTCTATCAAGTCCTGAGCCTTGATAGGAAGTGAGGGTCTGGCCTCTGGGCATCAAGCAGCCAGAAAGTCCCTTAGGAGCTTTCTCTGAATTGTTGAATTGTGAGTGATCTTTTCCTTTCCCGACTTCCTTAATATCCACAATTTCCTTGTAACCATCCCTCCAAGCCACACCCACAAGGCACCTCCAAGACCTATCATGAAGCAGATATTCAAAGATGACTTGTATGGCCGGGCACAGTGGCTCACGCCTGTAATCCCAGCACTTTGGCAGGCCTAGGTGGGTGGATCACGAGGTCAGGAGATCCAGACCATCCTGGCCAACATGGTGAAACCCCGTCTCTACTAAAAATACAAAAAATTAGCCGGGCGAGGTGGCGGGCGCCTGTAGTCCCAGCTACTCTGGAGGCTGAGGCAGGAGAATGGCGTGAACCCGGGAAGCAGAGCATGCAGTCAGCCAAGATCATGCCACTGCACTCCAGCCTGGGTGACAGAGCGAGACTCTGTCCCAAAAAAAAAAAAAAAAAAGATTATTTGTAAATTTTCACACCCCACCTGTTCCAGAATGTCTTCCAACATCCCCTTTCCTGGATAAGTAAAAAACAAGGTTTGCATGTTGAGTATCAGCCTCTCCCATTGGGTGGGTGTTTAGGAAGGAGGATCAGTCGAGAACCCTATTCCAGCCCAGGTAAATGACCTGGCCAAAGATTTAATTTCCACAAATGTAGAATGCTTGTAACAGAACTCAGTGGGAACCAAAGTCAGGCATGGCACTGGGCTTTAAGGAGCACAAACGAAAAGGAGGGACTAGAAAACTTCAGAAAGGTATTGGCGGGGTGTGGAGGGATGGGACAGTGAGGATGTGGGATCCCGGAATAATCCAAATCCCTGTCTGGAGACCTATGTGTACAAAGGCTGTAAAGAGAGACCCAGGCTGATGGGGTATCTGTAATAAATCAAACATAATATAACAGCAGGTCACGTGATACGGGGACCCTGGAAAAACAGAACAAGCAGCTAAAGGAGCAGCATCACACTCCATAGATATTCACAAACATCAAGACACTAAGAAAGCTGCATTCATTTAAATCAAGGTGACAGGCTGGGCGCGGTGGCTCACGCCTGTAATCCTAGCACTTTGGGAGGCCAAGGCGGGCAGATCATTTGAGGTTCAAGACCAGCCTGGCCAACGTGGTGAAAGCTCGTCTCTACTAAAAATATAAAAATTAGCCAGGTGTGGTGGCGGGTGCCTGTAATCCCAGCTACTCAAGAGGCTGAGGCAGGAGAATCACTCGAACCTGGGAGGCGGAGGTAGTAGTAAGCAGAGATCAAGCCATTGCACTCAAGCCTTGGGAGAGCAAAACTCCATCTCAAATAAATAAATCAAAGGTGACAGTTACTGAGTGCTGTGGGCCAGGTACAATGATACACCCTCAAATGTGTTACCCTCATGAATCTGAATCACTTGTGATATCTCTGCTTTAAGGAGTCCTATTTCCCACACTCTTAGCTGGCTTGAGATGTGAAAATCCACCTAAATTATAGACAGTGAAAAAAAATAGTGGTGCCCACCCAGGGAATATGTCTAGTTAAAATTAACATAGATAAAAATCAGCAAAAAGAAATTTTAAAAATATTTTTTGAAATTAAAAGCCATATAAACCAATGTGTCACTGATGAGTTCAAAGAAGAAACTGACCTGCAAACCAGGAGATACATGGGAAGGAGCAATAGTGAAAATGCTTCAGATCTAAACCTGTGGAATGAGGCTACCTCAGTGTCCAAAAATATCACTTAAATATAGTGCCAAGGGGCGGGGTGCGGTGACTCACGCTTGTAATCCCAGTATTTTGGGAGGCCGAGGCGGGCAGATCACTTGAGGTCAGGAGTTCGAGACCAACCTGGCTGACATGGTGAAACCCCATCTCTACTAAAAATACAAAAATTAGCTGGGTGTGGTGGCGCGCATCCATAATCCCAGCTACTTGGGAGGCTGAGGCAAGAGAATTGCTTGAGCCCAGGAGGCGGAGGTTGCAGTGAGCCGAGATGGCACCACTGCACTCCAGCCTGGGTGATAGAGCAAGACTCTGTCTCCAAAACAAACAAAAAATTTCCAATGAATAAACTACCTACCAAGACTTATAGAATGAGACTAAAACCACGGCTGGAGGAAAACTTTTAGCCTGAAAGTAGCCTAAGATTTAGAAATTACGGCAAAAAACTAAGGAGTAAGCAGTTACCCTTCAGGTTAGAAAACCAACAGCATAACAGGAAATGAGAGAGGGAAGAAATAATCAGATGGGGCTAGGATGGGGGCTTATGGGGATGAAGGAGGCAGGAAGAGCATGTGAAGTCTGTGCATAAAGTCACTCCCTAAGGACAGTCCCTGAGAGGAAGCTAGACGCACAAGGATCGGGCTAGGTGGAGAAGGTGGAGAAGACAATCCCGAAGGGTACATTCAGGGGTTGACGGCGATAAGAAAACAGGAGGGCAGGCCGGGCGCGGTGGCTCAAGCCTGTAATCCCAGCACTTTGGGAGGCCGAGATGGGCAGATCACGAGGTCAGGAGATCGAGACCATCCTGGCTAACACGGTGAAACCCCGTCTCTACTAAAATATACAAAAAACTAGCCGGGGGAGGCTGAGGCAGGAGAATGGCGTGAACCCGGGAGGCGGAGCTTGCAGTGAGCCGAGATCCGGCCACTGCACTCCAGCCTGGGCAACCGAGCAAGACTCCGTCTCAAAAAAAAAAAAAAAAAAAAAGAAAACAGGAGGGAAAGTCAAGTGTGGAGCCTTTCCTGTCCCTAGCATGGAAGACATCAGGAGCTGATGAGTGAAAGTGATAAACAGCATTCTCACCACAAAAAAAGGTCAAGGATTTGAGGTAACGGATAGATTAATTTGATTCTTATTCCACACTATATTGAAAAATCACATCATTTTATACCCCATATACAATTTAGAAGATAGGTAAAAATCAGCAAGAAAAAAATGAAAAACTATTCTTTGAAGTATTTTTAAAACATGCAATTTATGGGGTACAATCTAATTCATCTATCTATCTATCTATCTATCTATATCTTTTTTTAAAAAAAACGGGGAGTCAATAAACACAGGAAACAGTGCCTTGAGAGAGAGAGAAGGAAAATGGGCACAATCTGCCCTTAGAAAGACACAGCGTTTAAATCCACGCATGTGAGAACTCCAGGGTTCAAGGTAAGACAGGGATCAGTCAAGAACAGCCGGCTTATCACCTATAGCCACAGGGTGGCGCCAACACCCACCGCTCCGGCCTGAGCCGGCCAGAGAGAACATTCAAGTAAAACTGGGACATCCCAGAAGGCCTGAGACCTGCAGGTCCCACCATTGAAGTCCAGTGAGGGAGGAAGGTCCAATGTGAGGTGAAAAAATACCATAGAGGTGTATTGAAATGAAATAATAGTTATTAAATAGTCATTGTACTTCAGGTAAAAGTAGGTAAAATGACAGAAAATGAGAGCAATGAGTGAGACACCATAGATATGTAATGATGGACAATAAATGACATGATGTGGAGAGTTTGCCCACACGTGCAGACTTTATATCTGCCTGCATCACCCCGTAGAGATGATTACACAAACTGCACTGACACTGTGAAGTCAACGAGGAGATAAAGTAAAAATCAAATAGTTATGGAGAGGGTTGGTCTGTGTAGTGGGAAACCCTTCAGAACACGCACACGGCATCTCCCCTCCCTTCTGAATACCATGCATAGCCCGCAGAAGTAGATGGCAAATCACAGCCTGGGCCACCCTTCCCAGAATGTCACAAACATGGACGTGCAGACCACAGAACTCACCAGATACCCAAGCTGGGTGGCGCCGGGCTCTGAAAGCCATGCTTCAAGTCAGAGGGACTAGAAACCTCCCCGAGGGAGCAACAGGGATCGGGGATTCCAGGAGGATCCAGGTGCCTGTGCAAAGACCAAGCAGTGAACAGACGTGTGTGTCAGTGATTCGGTTGGCATGAACTCAACACCATCTAACACCGCAGCTCACGTTTCTGTGTGCATCAGACTCACCTGGGGGCTTGTTAAATACAGATTGTTAGGTCTCACCCCTAGAGTTTCTGCTTCAGTATTCTGGGGAGCAGCCTGTGAACCTGTATTTCCAGCATGATTTTCAGGGCTACTGATACTGTTGGCCCAAGGACCACACTACGACCTAATTTAACACCAGGTTAGGGGAGGTACTAAGGAACAAAAAGCAACAGAAGAAGGGCCCTGAAGCCTGTAGGGGCTTCTCTGTAAACTCCTCAAACATAAAAGCCTTCAAGGCTCTCAAAGAGCATTTACAGCATCATGTCTACAAATAAAAGGTGCCATGCAGGGAGAGTTCCATCAAGCAGAGAGAAGAGCCCACTGAGTGTCCCTGTCTTAGTCCGTTTGTGTTGCTGTAACAGAATACCACAGACTGGGTGATTTATCAGCAAAAGTTCACTTGGTTTACGGTTCTGGACACTGGGAAAGTGAGGGGCCTGCATCTGGGGAAGGTCTTGCTGTGCTGTCCTATGGTGGAAGGTGGAAGGACAAGAGAGTGACCACATGTGAGAGGGAGAAAGGGAAAGAGAGAAAGGGAGGAAGCCAACCTCATCCTTTTACCAGGAACCCACTCCCAAGACATCTAACCCACTCTGCTTCATCCATTCGTGAGGGCGGAGCCTTCACCACCTAATCACCTCTTGAAGGCTGCACTGGTCATCGCTGTTGCCTTAGGGGTTGAGTTTCCCACACATGAACTTCGGGGAACACACTCAAACCACAGCAGTCCTCATGGAAACCTTCCAGAAAATCTGCGTGCCTGGCACTCCGGAATCCCTCTTTTCCACCCCTTCTCCCTGCAACTCTAACATCGTGTCCCCTCATCATTTTCCATTCGAGCATAGGAAAGAACAGAGTCACTACACCCATTTCTTATGAACCTTTCCTACATTAAAATAATCACTCAGATAGAAATTTGTAAACATAAATTTTCATTTTTGATATGAGCGAATATTAAATTATTATTTTTTTTTTGAGGAGTTTTGCTCTGTGGTCCAGGCTGGAGTAAAGTGGCGAGATCTCTGCTCACTGCAACCTCCGCCTCCAGGTTAAATCCAATCTCTTGCCTCAGCCCCCCAAGTAGCTGGGATTATAGGCATGCACCACAACACCTGGCTAATTTTGTATTTGTAGTAGAGATGGGGTTTTCCCATGTTGGCCAGGATGGTCTCGAACCCCTGACCTCAGGTGATCTGCCCGCCTCGGCCTCCCAAAGTGCTGGAATAACAGGCATGAGCCACTACGCCCGGCCTTGAATATGAAATTCTGTATTAGTTTAATGAAATATCTAAAATATATAGAAAATAAAAACAATTACCAAAAATGTTCAATGATGCAAAGCAACACATACAGTGAGATCTCACATCCTAAAATATATAGACCTAAATATGTTATTTTAAAAATCAAGCAGAAACATAAGGGGCTCTATATACACCTTTTAAAATAAGCTTTCTGACTGGGTGTAGTGGCTCACGCCTGTAATCTCACACTTTGGGAGGTCAAGGTGGGCGGATCACCTGAGGTCAGGAGTTTGAGACCAGCCTGGCCAACATGGTGAAACCCCATCTCTACTAAAAATACAAAAATGAGCTGGGGATGGTGGTGGGCACCTATAATCCCAGCTACTTGAGAAGCTGAGGCAGGGAGAACTGCTTGAACCCAGGAGGCGGAGGTTGCAGGGATCTGAAGCATGCCATTGTACTGCAGCCTGGGCGATAGAACGAGACTCCATCTCAAAAAAATTATAATAATAAAATAAGCTTTCTAGGTTGGGCATGGTGGCTCACCCCTATAATCCCAGCACTTTGGGAGGCTGAGGCAGGCAGATCACTTGAGGTCAGGAGTTCAAGACCAGCCTAACCAAAATGGCAAAATTCTGTCTCTACTAAAAAGACAAAAATTAGCCAGGCGTGGTGGTGAACATCTGTAATCCCAGCTACTCGGGAGGCTGAGGCAGGAGAATCACTTGAATCTGGAAGGCAGAGGTTGAAGTGAGCTGACATCGCGCCACTGCACTCCAGCCTGGGTGCCAGAGCAAGACTCCATCTCAAAAAACAAGCTTTCTAGAGTTTAACTCAAGAATTAATTTGAAATTCTGTCAAGAAAGAGGTACTCAAAAAACATGAAAAGTATGTAAGCCACTAATGTATCAAGAAAACAATCATTCTTGTATTGCAAATAAATGCCCAACCAAGACAAAAAGACACGTCACATCGTATGGGAAAAGACGGAAATGAGGGTGAGAGGAAAACTGTGACCTTGAAAGTAAGACAGAAAAAAATCAAGGCAGGATGTCATGGAATTGGAAATAATTCTCCATATTAAAGGATTACAAGAGACAGGAAGAGAGGAGAGAGGGACGTGATAGTCACAGACTGCAGGAGTGTGGGGTGGACAGGAATAAAGGAGGCAGGGAGCAGTGGGGATGGACGTAAAATCACCCTCCAGAGCTGTGCTGTCCAACAAGGCAGCCACTTGCCACACGTGGCTGCTGAGCACTTGGAAGATGGCTAGTCCAACCTGAGAACTGCTGTAAGTGGAAAACACATTTAACAAAAATTCTGAATACTCAGTATAAAAGAAAGAATGGGCTGGGCGCGGTGGCTCAAGCCTGTAATCCCAGCACTTTGGGAGGCCGAGACGGGTGGATCACGAGGTCAGGAGATCGAGACCATCCTGGCTAACACGG